GAGAAAATAGTGATTTTTAAGTCCTCATCCTCACTGTAATATCAATTAGCACATATAGTGACTTTTATTTCATAGTATTAGGGGCTTCTGGTGCATGCACTTTTTTTCTTGAGCAGATAAATGTGTTCGGACTGGCAAGGGTGCTGTCGCGTGTTGTCATTTCTGACATTTGCTCTGATGAGAATGAGAGTGCAAACAGTGCTAAATGTCATCAGAAGTGCACTGACATGAAAGACAGGAAAATCTCACATGCAATCTGTTCCTCTTCCTTCAGAGCCGAACCATCACAGCAGGCACACATTCTCAAAGGCTTTGAGATCTCCAAGGAATTACCGGGGTGTTGCAAATACCAGTGCTGTGACAGATTGCTGTGACTATTTTTCAGTGTGTTAAACTGGGATTAGAATGTAACATGAGGCACAATTCAGAAAACCCTTTGAAAGATAACTTTATTTCTCCTTAATATATCTTTCTGTAGACTAGAAGTCTTAATATTGCTGCATTCCTGCAAAGTTCACGAGTCAAAAGTGTGATGTGCTGTCCATTCAAGAGACTTTAGTTGGATATACGGTACAATAATGCTGCGTTGAGGTCACTGACGTCATCGATAACAAGACAGCTTTGGTTTTTATGTGTGTAGAAACTAAATCTGAACGCTGGCTAGACAGTTTCAGAGGATTATCAGCAACCTGTTTGAGTCTGTTCTTCACAAAAAAGCTATCATGTCTTCATAATACTGCATCGTATGCAAATATATAAATAAAAGGCATACAAAAAATATAAAAATTAAGGGCGACTTAAAGGGATAGTTCATGCATAAAAGAAAGTAATTACTCTTCCTCATGTTATTCCAACCCATCTTAAAAACACAAATTAAGATATTTTGATGAAATCTGAGAGCCGTCTCGCTCCTCCATAGGCTTCTATTGGATTTAAACTTGCCGGCCAAGAAAAGTTAGTACAAACATCGTCAAAATGGCTCAACCTGTGGCGAGAATACTTTTTGTGCACAAAAGTTTGTCACTGTTTGGTTACAGGAGGATGAAATAAAGTACTGGATACTGGATAAAGTGCAGCAGTGTTTTCTTCAAAACACTCATATAATCCTTAAAGGGATACTCCGCTCATTTTACCACTCCCCCAGAGTTAAACAGTTGAGTTTTACCGTTTTCGAATCCATTCAGTCGATTTTTTGATATTTAGAAGAATATCAGTAACCAGACAGTTTCTGGTCCCATTGACTTCCATAGTAGTCAATGAGTCCAGAACAGAGATGTATAAAGTACTAGAAACCCGGACTTGAGTAAAAGTACAAGTGCTCTATCAAAAAAGTGACTTGAGTAGAAGTTGAAGTGCTCTTTAAGCACCACACTTAAGTATTCAACATTTTTGTACTTAAGTATTGCAAGTAGTTTATTTTAAAATTCACTACTTAAGTACTAAAAGTAAAAGTACAAGTATTCTGTCATTTAATTTTTAAAGAAAACAGTCAAAAGTTTGAACTAGCAATCAAATAAGGTGCTTTGGCGGGATACAAATTTGCTTTGCCGGCCATTGCAGGACAACCCCTGCATTAGTTGTCAATGCGTCAATCTATCCCATTACCCTATAAAACTGGTGTGATTTAGGCAGCATGAAAGCCAACTTGCAACGAATGATTCGTACATTTTTATAATTGTAACGAGTAACTAGCAGAACATTAAAAAAATATCGAAGTAAAAGTATTAAATTCATCGAAAATATCTACTGAAGTAAAAGTAGAAGTATGAGAAAAAAAACAATACTCTAGTAGAGTACAGATGCAGCATTTTAGTACTTAAGTACAGTACTTTTACTTCGTTACTATACATCTCTGGTCCAGAAACTGTCTGGTTACTGATATTCTTCTAAATACCAGAAAATCGGCTGAATGGATTCGAAAACGGTAAAACTCAACCGTTTAACTTATTTTTATGTCAATGACAAAGACATCTCAAGCAATGTCATATTTGCATTAAAATTGTCATAACTGAGCGAATGACACTTAATGACAGTTGTCATAAACATGCATAAAACTTCCTTTATATTCATAACAGGTGTCATGTCATGATTATGAAGGAGTCATGTTAGTCTTATGGACACCCCTTCAAGTAAAGTGTTACCAAAAGTAGACTGAAAGTGCCCTTTCTTGAATAAACATATTCTTTTGTAAGGGACAGCTGGTAGTTATCTCAGCAGTTAATGTATACTGTAGAAATCTACCGATAACAACATCTCAGTTTCACTCTCTCTCTTTTGCTCTGAGATAAAATGACTGAAGTAATAGATAATAGCAAGATAACAACGGCAGAGCAGTGGCACAGCTGTCATGTGGTCTCACCTGGGTTTGTGTGGGCTGAGTTGAGGTTTCCACTCTTCCACTTGTACATTTAGCCTGAAATGTGCTGTAGTTGCATCTCTATTGTTGACACTGAAGTGTCAGGTAAGTGCAGATTTAGGAAACTCCTCATCCACTCTGAAAAGCACACTTGCCAACTGCTTCGATTTTACATTCACAGTTCATAACCTATTTTTCTTCTGACATATTTCAAGTAAACAGGATTTTCAGGAGGGAAAAAAAGTTGGGAGAAACTTTGATTGAATTGTAAAACTACAAAGTATGATATTAAGTATTTTTCAGGTCTTCTGCAAAGATAAATGTAAATTTGAGATCACATCTGCTTTCGTTCCAACTATAGACTGAAGCTAGGTCAAATCTGTGGCCTAGTTGAAATAAAATACATTTGACATACTGTTGCAATCTCACTTCCATATGCAAGCAATGTTTTTAATGTAAAAAAATAATAATACGACAAATCATGAAATTAAAGCTAGCTCTGAGAATGACAAAACCATTTTGGGTCCCCCAAAGAACCTTTAAAGGGATAGTTCACTTTGAAATAAATTTTTGATATGTTTTAGCTTACCTCAAGGGCATCCAAGATGTAGGTGTCTTTGTTTCCGCAGTATTTTTTTTTTTTTAATATTTTTTTTTTCCTTGTCTGTCAGTCATATAATGGAGGTCTATGGTCACCACCTCAAAGAGCATGCGCATAGAAGTCCAAATTAAACAAGATTTAATGACTCGTAAATGTAAGTACACATTGATGGCCTGAGACACGAAACAAGTGGTTTGTGTGAGAAAACAAACAGTATTTATATAGTTTTTACCTCGTTACCACAGCCACAAAGCGCCCGCGCCCCTCAGATCACTTGGACGTGGCTGTGGTTACAAGAGGTAAAAACGATATAAATACTCTTTGTTTTCTCACACAAACCCCTCATTTCGTGTCTTAGTCCATCAATGTGTACTTACATTTACGAGTCATTAAATCATGTTTAATTTGGTCTTCTCTGTGCATGCTCTTTGAGGTGGTGACCATAGACCTCCATTATATGACTGACGGGCAAGAACGGTTTGACCTAAAAATATCAAAATTGAAAATACTCTGGAAACAAAGACACCTACATCTCGGATGCCCTTGAGGTAAGATAAAACATATCAAAAATTAATTTCAAAGTGAACTGTCCCGTTAAGTGAACAGCTCTTAAAATAACCTTTTTTTTGTTGGTGTGTTGAACATTTTAATAATCTGAAGAACCATCTTCCACGATTAAGAACCTTTAGTGAAATGGAAAGGCTCATGAATGTTGAAGGTTCTTCATGGAACCATAGATGCCGATAAAGAACTTTTATTTTCAGTCATTGTTGAATAATTCTTTAAGGATATTTGTTCAATGTTTTCAGATCAATTGACCTTGTCCTGGGTGTAGGAATTCAACACCTAGCTTTTGTTGCTATTCTTTCTGCCAACACCCTCCATTTATTACAATCGTACACTATTCCAATTTGCCTGTCGGTTCACAAGTCCATAATATTGATATACCAGACAATTATATAAATGGGATAGGAATTGATCTGATCCTTGCTGAAATGCTCAGCTTAGTTGGTCACAAGAATATATTGTGTTTTGGAAGCTGAAGCCCATGATCCCTGGAGCGATCTGTTGTAAATCAGCAAACTGCTCAATCTGTGAGTGAAATTATTGGCATTGGTGTAATGTAATCCATAAAAAGTAATGGCCTGGTTTCACAAACAGGGTTATGGTCTAGTCCAATTAGGACATTTAATTAACTTTTATAAAAGTGTCTTAGCAAAAATTAATTACTGGTGTGCATCTTGAGACAAAACAATAGCACTGACGTATTTTAAGATATGCTGTGTAAATTAGTATTAGTAGAGTATTAGTAGACTGGTAGGGTTAGAGTTAGAATAAGTTGTCATGTACTAGCAAAGTTACTTTTAGTCAGTAGAAAGTCTTTTGGAGAGGGGTTTCACCGACGTCACGTTCTGGGCGGTAACCCGGATGCGCGGCCATTTTGGAGGTACTCGGTGTAAACAACGGAATGGAGCACAATGGAGTATTGTGCGCTTTGGATACTTTAAGTGAATTATAGCCATGTCTAAACAACAGAAAAGCTCATCAAAGCGCGTCCAAGATGCAAAGGCATATAGGGAAGGACTTGGGCCACAAGAAAAGGTGCGATATTTTGAGAAATTACGATTTATTGGCGGTGCAGATCCCTACGAGTTAGCTCCCTCTTCTTAGATCCATAACAACCCGGTGATTCTTCCTTCAGTTGCATATCCTGATATATTGAATTGTGCACCTTTTCTGTAATTGTGATATGTTCTTTAAATATTTTTGGCATTTGTTTTTTAGTTGGTGATATTTTTGTAAAGCTATTTTGACAAATAAAAGTTATACTCAAGTTACATACAAAATTGTGTTTACAGTTAGTGTATTGCACTATATTAGACTGTATGATTTATAGTAGTGTAAAGTTTATAAGTGTCCTGATAAAAGTCTTTTTTCTTTAATAAATCTGTGTTCTGATGATCGGGATATGCTGTGTGTTGTCATCCACAACAAAACAATGACTTAATGACTGTAAATTAACAATCATTTATAGATCATTTTAGGCTTAATAGACAAGTCCAGACATGGATTCATTTATATTTTTATTGGCAAAGTGCATATAAAAATATAATTTAGTCAAAATCAACTACTGATGGACTAAAGTTCACCAGAGCACAACAGACAAGTCCAATCTTATCTATGGTACAATACCCATCACTATCTTTGTACATCAATAAATCAATTGGCAATATTCCCCCAAAAATAGTATATTTCTGGCACACACAACCAATCACACCCTCAACATGAATCCTGATGTGGGCAATTTCATGCGAATAAACATGACATCAATTACATCAGTGACAATCCTTGAAGCAGTGGCTTTTGACACGTTGAATGCATATGACAGGAAGGTTGTGGAAACATTAAGCCTAAGACGCATCAATGTCAGCATCAACTGCTTAAACTTATCAAGTGACTTCCTCACAGGGAGGTGGTGACTAAGGAATGTGAATAATACTAACAGTATCTGGTATGTAGGTAGGCCAGTGAAAAATAAAACCTTTTCATCCTTGTCAACAAAGGCACTTTGGTCATAGGAAGTGGACACATGTGCAACATCAGAGCTCAACTGAATGTTTTCAGTTCTAAGATTTTGAAGTTCAGTGGTCATACCCTCAATGACATCACCAGTCAATTCAGTTTGAGTCCCTATGCAGCAAAAATTGTTGCTGACAATCACTTGTGGTGGGGTCATCAGCAGCACTAGAAGCAGTAGCAGCTTCAGCTTCAGCTGGGTTCGAGTCATGCGACGTTTGTAGCTTGAGTTCCCTGTTTCTTTGGTTGACTGAGGTGAACCTCCTTGCTGACCTGTCAGTCCAACAGATGGCACAAAATCTGGGTCATCCTTTTGGTAAAGGTCAGACTTCTTACCTGTAATATAATGAGAAATACAGCACATTTTAGCTCTACATTTTTAAGAACGATAACAATAACATATTAAGTCATTAATGCCACATGCGGTAGCCTGATATGGATTATATTATGTCAATGTCAGCTTTGTTTATATAGAACATTTTAAATAGCCAGTGTCCTAACGTTACCAAAGTGCTTTACAGTAAAATAAGCACACATAATTACTATTTACTATTCAAAATATTAATATCATTGCTCTAGAAAATGTGTTATGAGCCACTGCAATCAATATTTCACAATACCTGACAAGAATTGTGCCGAACAAATCCGGATATTGTGCAGATTTTTCCCTCGTAGATGTTGGTTGAGCTTTGCCAACCACAAGCGCCTCCTTTCCTCTGATAACTTCTGGCATTTCTCTCCTTGGTTTTTAATAAATTTTGGAAGTCGATAATATTCCAAATGTTTTTCTCGGTTTTTCCTATTAGTACAACCTGAAACACGCCAATAATTAAACATTTTCCTTGACGACGTTCGAGATATAGCTCAGTGCCAATGCTTATTGTGATGCGGAGTGCCTCCAAAATGGCCGACTTCCGGTTTGATGACGCGTCGTGAAACCCCTCTATAAAGAGTTAGCAGATATTCAGCAGACAGTCTACTGATGCTCTAATGAGAGTTAGTTGACATGTGACTTACACCGTGTCCTAACTACACGCGACGCGATAAAATTCCAGCGACAGCAAGTGTGCTCGTCTGTCCACACTAGACGCGACGCGAAGATGCCACACATTCTGAACAGCGTGTGAGCTGAGAGTCTCTCTGTGAAAGCGCACTGTTGGCCCGCACTCGCATTGGAAATGGGTAAGGACATAATCAAATCAAGAAATAACATTATTAAAAATCAAAACATTAACAAAATATACTCATTGACTAATTTTGTTATGAAGTACAGTTGTATGTTTGCATAGAATTCATTTTGAACGCTATATCGCTACATGCTTTCAAAATCTGAGGTAATTATCCTTTATCGCTTGTGGCACAGTGACCTATAACTAAAAACAAATAATGTATATACTCATAACCAGTGTAATTTCTTCATTCTGTCGGCCGCGACGTCGCAGAAATAGGAACCATTTCTAAATTAGAAACTTCGCGTGTCGCCGTCGCGTCTGGTTAGGACTAGTCTCAGCCTCAGACGTCACGCCCACGGAACGTTGGCTAAACGTCTGATGCATATGGTACACTTAACTGGAAACACTTCAGGAATGTCGAAGTCGTCATCTGATTGGTTGAATTTTATCGGATTTCCGGGGGGCGTCAGTGTCGCGTTTATTTTCGGTCCGCCGGGAAACAAAGCGCAGAAGTGTGATTGCGGAAGAAAAACTGTTGAGTTTATGAGTGACAATGAGCATTAATCAAGATCAGCTAAACGTAGTTGTATGTCCCCTCCTATCGATTATGGAAGATCAAGTGAAGTACTTAATTGCGAAGGGGATATCAGCCGCGTTTGTGGGCAAACATGAAACAACAGACGCTGACATCGCAGCTGGCCGATTCAGTATTCATATATGCGCACACTGGATTATAAGGTGCATAAGATACTGCAGAGTCAAACGTTTGACTGCGAGTATTCAATGTGCGGCGGCTCGCTGACAGCTAACGTTACAGCTGGCTGTTTTGAATGAGACGAGCCGGTTACTGTGAACGGGGACGGGGAGCGCTTTATGAACATAACTGTGACGCACAAGCAGCGCCGGGTACAGTGTGTCTGAGTGAGCGCTCGTGAGCACGTGATCTACACACATAACCTGATTTATACGAGGTTGAACTGGCCGTGTGACAAAGCGGGCATAAGATGGACATGAGCGCGAGTTTGTGGGTGAATTTAATAACGCGGACCGTTGTTAACGAGCGCCTCCGGTGACTGCTGCTGAGTCTGACTGACTTGTTGCACGCCGGTCTGATGTTGTGGGGACATTTCCACGCCCCGAAACGTGACGCTGAATGAAACGAACTGTAATTGGTTGTTTGACATGTCGGTCAAACGGCCTTATGGGCGGGCCTTGGCCAAAGAAAGCTGCTATGAATTCCAGACCTTCAGCCGTCAGTCTGAAGGTCTGGCTACGCGAGACTAGGTTAGGACAAAAACTCTGATTAACATGGAAAAGATACCTTTTATCGCGTGTCGCGGCGTCGCGTCGCGTGTAGTTAGGACACGGTGTTATAGTCAACAGAATGTTCAAAAGGAACCATCAAAATAAAGTGTTACCGACTTTTTCATTGTAAATACATACTCTTCAAAATAAAACACATTACATAGAACACATCACTACATTTATGTAGCAGGATAGTTATTTCAAATGTAACATTTAATGAGGTCAGTTATTTTTTTCAATAAATAATATGTTGTTTGAATTCACCAGTTTAACATATCCCCTGTTATGTCAAGAGAATAAGAAAAACAAGCAAGCAAACAAGCCAGACATATATTAATGCAGTGTGGGCTTTAATTTGTTGTGGAAAAATCATTATTTGTATCATTCCATAAAAGTGCTAGCCACGCCCACACATCTGCAGCTTCATTGGAATGGATGGACTCAAGTTGAGTTAGCTGGGCGACATTCAGGACATTTTGAGTGACACTTCGTTTGACTATTGCCAAGTTGTCTATCTTGGGTTCTCATACTGAGAACCAGATCTTCCAAAGTACCACTCGCAGTCCAAATGCACTGATTAAATCCACCCCTTCCTCATCCCCACAGTGGCCTGTCCAACATACCCAGATCCAGAGGCACTGTGGCCAGGCTTGGCTTCACACTGCTCTCGGCTGACAGCTGGGCCCTGTAATCCGCAGACGCCAGGAGCACATTGCTCTTGGGAACTGTACGATACCTTTTTAATAAAGTAATGATTAGGGCTAAATAAGAATCACTGCTCATGTGTGACTTATCATCCTATCAATTACGCTAATTGCCGCTGTTAGGGAACCTAAATGAGAGCCTTTATGCCCTTAGTCTGAAATCATACTGTAGTAGTTCACAGCTGTCCAACCTCTTGTATTACTGCCAGTATTTTTTAGAATGACCAGACGTCTCAGTTTCCTGGGATTTGATCACCTTTAGTTTAGTATATGACCATGTATGTGTTTGTTTCTTTTTGTTTTTCAAATGCTCATCAGTTTTGTGTTATTTTTCATTTATGCTCATGTTGTTTCCTAATGCCTAGTTCACACTACATGATTTTAAAACGTCGGGCTGAACTGTGCGGTTCACACTACATGACTTGCTCTCTGTTGAAGTTGTTGAGTTGTTCACACCACATGACACAACATGATCGATCCGCAACAGGAGGTAACGCACTACACGAGTTGAGAACTACTCTGTCACCCAACGATTCTATCTTGTCTACAAACTACATTTTGTCACGAAAAATCACGCGATAAGACGAACCGGAAATGACGCAAAACAGCACATGCGTCAATACCCAGCGAAGACACGCGAATGTGGATGTCAGACAGAAACTAGTGCTGCAAACTGTTTACGCGATGATTTGCTTTGAGAAAAAAATGCAAAAAAATAAGATTTACATCACTGAGGTTGAGTCGCGTGACGGCTCTGGATATCTAGCATGCTAGATATTTTTCTGGGCTCAGCGACGTGTCTGCGAGCGTCTTTGATGCGTTGTTGGCTCTTTCACACTAACATATTGGCGAGCGTTCATCGTCCGCTAATCCCCCGCGATTTGCACGCGATAACACCCTGACCTGTCGGCGAGCTCAACGATTCACAAATCGGGCTTAAATCGGGTTTAAAATCCTGTAGTGTGAACTTGGCTTTAGTAATTATTACGAGTCGTCAACACAATGATTACAGTACATGGAAAATTTAGCATTGATGCATGTTGATTCACAGTTTGCGTCATCTGAAGTTCCAACGCATTCTCATCCTTTAGCGTCATATAGAACGTTATATGACAAAACGGCGCTATACTACGAACATGGCACCTGTTATCGTTAATATAACACGCGCTGTGATGGGTAGGTTTAGGTGTAGGGTAGGGTAGTCTCATATTACGCTAAAGGGTTTATGACGACTTGGGTTCGCGTGTTATATTAACGATAAAAGGTGCCATGCGTGTAGTATAGCGCCGTTTTGTCATATAGCGTTCTATGTGACGCTAAAGGATGAGAATGGGCTTGAAGTTCTTGTAGGAGTTGGAGTGTCTTCACAGGTGTTGGGTCATATGAAGTCTTTGTAAGAGGCTTGAGCTGACGCACTCTTTAGCAACCTCGGGATGTGCATTTTGAGATAAAACAAAAGCAAATGGAAAATAACTAGCGTTCATAACATTTCAAGCAAAAGATAACAATGTGCATTTGATCTGATATTACAGCCCATTTTCATCCCAAGGCGTCATATACTGACGCTTTTGACATTTCGTCTACATCCAACGCACATGGCACCCTTTAGCGTCAATATTGGCGCTTTTCCACTGCTGGTACGGCTCGGTACGGCTCAGTACGGTTCGGCGGGACGTGGCACGGTTCGGCTCACTTCGCTTTTCCACTGCGCGTTACGACTCAGTACGGCATGGCTCGGTTTGCTTTAGCATGGTTGCTTTTCCACTGCAGTAGTACCGCTTTAAAGTGGGTGGGATTATAGACTGATCGATAACAGCGGTGGCTGTTACTGGTGTTAGATTTTGGTGATGCCGAGCAGTGGTTTCAGTGGCTCGCCAATGTATTGGATTTCTCCAATACATAAAATAAGTAAGCTTGACCAGTTCTTGTGGGGAGAAGAATTTATTGAAGGTTTGTAGTGTAGCAGTCCTTCAGCAGCGATGTTATCATGTCACCCTTCAACAATCTTAACCCAATGTTCTGTCTGTGAGACAGAACTTTATAAAGAAGATTATGGGCTACAAACAATAGAAACCTGTTAGGACCTCCCACAGGAGATGCTAATCCATTTTGAGCAATGCTGAGTCTTTGTCATTCACACCAATCAGTTTCTGTGGGCCATACATCTGAATGGGCCATTCATCTGTATGGGCCGTTTGACACACACCTTTGCAGACACCGACAGAGTGGATTAATTATGATACACGTCACAATGTAAATGAATCTGATAACTGAAAATACAAAATCTATCAATCCCCCCTTTGATCATATTTGATCACAAAACAAACTTCATTATATACAGCATGCTGCATACAGGCTCCACTTAATATGACAGAATAAGAGTTCATAGTGAAACTTTGCATCCTCTTGAATTCTTGAGTCCTCTGGTGGCTTTTATTTTGGAGTTGTGTTCTGTTGGAAGTGGTTGATAGGGTTGTGTTCTGTGAATGTTCAGAAGTTTTTATCTAGGTGACCAGTGCAGTCTAAACGTCGGATGCAATTGCTCATCCTCTGGAATGCTGGAACACCTGCAATCACACAAAAGAGAAACGGGGAACGTATCTTTGCCAAGGAAAATATTTTAAAGACATAATTCATAATTGCCTGACAAACTGTCCCTATTTAATATTGGCAGGACACTACTGTGTTTATCAGTGGCTGTATGTTTATGTCTTCGTCCTCAGGCGACAAGCTAGGGCCTAAAAACCCTAGTCCCGCCATATCTGGACTCTGATAAACACTACTGCCGTCTATCCCTCATCTCTAGGAAGATGTTTCAAATCCCATTGGCTCAAATCAGTCCACTCATCTTTTCTCTGCACCTTAACTGCTTCATCAGTTACCATGAGATCCTGTAGGCTATCCCTCTTGGATTCTAATGATGAAAATGGATTCTTGGCATTGTGTGTTCTACCAGGCTGAGTCTTTCATCAGTTTGGGCAAGGCTGTCAGATGTTAGATTTTCTTTGGACAGGGCCGGCCAATGACATGTTCAAAAGGGCATAGTCCAAATTTCCTTGTGGTCATCTTTACTGCATTGCTTGTCATTATGCAGTTTGTTTTAGCTTCCATCACTGATGGCATTTGTTTTCTGGGTGCTTCATCTGGAATAAGTTTACATGGCAAAAGTTGAAGTTGTCTTAATGCCGCTGTATGTGCACCTCTCTCCTTTACGGCTTGTATAGCAGCACCTTCTACTTGGACATCATCTTTGGCTTCAGTTGTTGAGACTCTGTGTATGCTTTTACCTTTGGGTGGTGTCTTCATTTGTCATTTTTGCATACACATGGAGTCCATCAGTTGTCGGATGAGATGTCACAAGTTGGTGCTGCAGAGAGAGGCTCTTCAGTTTCCCTGCGGCTCAACAGCGTTTAGCAGAGTCTGTTTTTGTTTATCTGTCAACTGCTGAAACCTCCTCAACAGGTTGTCCTCATCATCACTTTGACTTTTTAAACTCAGCTTACAATCACGGACCCAGTGTCCTTCTTCGTTGCAGTACCTGCATCTTCCTTGAGTTTTTGACTGTCTATTATCTTCATTTCTTTATGCTCATTCCACATTGTCTTGCTGTGTATGACATATTCTTCGATCGCAATGCTCTGAGTTTGACTTCCTGTGTTCTTTCAATCTTTGCTGACCACTCAACAATCTTTTTGAAAAGATGTTCAATGCTGTCCCAGTCGTCATATCGGATTTTGAGTGCTTTTGAAACTTCAGTTTCAGTCCATTACAAAAGCAGTTTTCAGAGGCATGCTAGTGTCCTTGTCCAGATCCTCACTGTCATTTACACCGGAGTGTTCCAACCAGGTTTGTCTGAAGCGTTCTTCGAACTCCGCAACAATTTCTCCAGTCTTCTGCATACATGAGTAATTCTAGCCCAATTAACCTCTGCAGGTTTCAGTTCAAACAAGAATGTTTCGTACAGCTTCCCATCCAGCCTCAATGTTTTCTTGAGACTCGCCTACCCTTTCAAACACTTTCAGTTATCCTCTTTTGTTCCTCTTGCCCTCAAGTTCACATTAACAATCATCACACCATCTACTGGATGTAAATTGTAGATCTTCTGTAAACGTTGAAGAAATTGCCATACTTTTCGTGGTTGTTTTGTACACATCTGGTAACTCCTTAGACCACTTGTCTACTTGCTCTGGTAAAGCTGGCT